TACCCTATACATATTTTAGAATTCTATCTGCGGGAGATTAATGACCCGGTGGTTTAGTTTTATGTCCCGCAACCAGAATTCAAAAATATATAAAAGGTACTGAGTAATATGGGTAATTTAATTATACAGTGTACCCAATTTTCGCGGACACACGATATACTATATACATATAGTACCATTTGTATCACCAGATAGACAGTGAATAAATCGTAGATAGCAAATTATGAAATGAATCAATGCTATAAAATTAAAATCTTATAATGGCCTTAGAAAAAAAATTGTTATCCAATCTATGGTATAGTGGTACGCACTCGTATCGTAAAGAATTGAAAAATTCAAAATGACAATTACGAGGAGTTTCTTCAGAGACTGGACGATCGGTTAGTAATTATACGGTTATATATTATATACTACGCATTGTGATTGGTTAAATTACTCATGGTATGTATAATATATTTTAGTGTGGTAGTTCTTTTATATATTGTAATAATATTACATAATGGTTGGTATATATAGAAGTGTATACCTAATGTAATATAGAATATTATATAGAATACTTCGGCTGTCATGCCTATTATTCGACAATAATAAGGATGAATAGATTTATAGGTATACAGTAATAATAATACATATGATATTTATTTTATTATATTGATATATATGTGGACTAATGCGGTACGGTGAGTACCTCTGACTCACCGTGCAACAGTTAGTCATCGCTTTTATAACTTTTTACTTTTTTCTCATTATTTAAGAAATATAATTTTATACTGGAAAATTATTATTGTATTGCACGGGATACTTTGAAAAAATAATACCGGAAATTGAAATCTCGAAAATAATACCACGGTAAAAATAGTTAAATATAAAATTTAGCGAAATTTAAAAAAAATTGTAAGATGTAATGGATGTGTTAATTATGAATTGAATGATAGACGATGAAAAATATCTAATTAGTGTTTATTTATATCATATAATTATTGACTATATTGTTATTAACTTTTGAATCAAAACTATACGTCTATACTTGACAAATATATTGAAATATACGGCATATTTGCATTATTGCAGTTTAGCTCCCAAACGATTTTTAGAAAAACTTTTTCGGAAACCTATGTATTTCACTGAGTTAAGAACAATGATGCAATCAAACTTTGTCGTTAGGACTTAAGTTTCAAAGTTATAACCTTTTGAAGTTATTTTTTGTATTGTACGCCTACTCTTATTATTCCACTAATCTACATAACTATATTAAAAGTATGCATTTATTTATGATGCACATTATACAGATCATAATATTTTTACTGAGAGGTTCTTATGATATAAACAAACATTTATTTTTAGTGGTAGGGTGGGTAAAGTTTCAATCCCCCTACCATATTCACAAACATTATCAAATTACGCCACTGTTACAATAATTTGTAATAATATAAAGCACAGTAATCTTATGTTTGAAATCTTACAGCAGAGAGCCAGAGCCACCCTGTATTGTACAATAACATATTATAGGTATCTGTTGTGGCCAGCTGTACATAAATTATCCGAGTCTAAGCAGTGAGCCTGAAAAGAGCATAACAATTCGCATAACAATGATAATTACACAGAGATGTCATTATATATATATACATATAATGTATATGCATGTGCACTATACAGTCATATATATATAATATATATGGATATATAATATATATTATATACATGTGTACTTATGCATTATATGAGTCCTATATATACACGCTTATAACCATGGCCCACAGAATAATTCGGCGACGTACCTGACACATTTCAAAACTAGCATATTACCTACACCTTATTCCCGAGTCTATATTATTATGTTTTTTTTACCGATTTTGTGTACTAGACGAAGAACTTAACGATAAGGCAGCATATGCCACATACCATATATAATTTGCAGAGGCCGTGCTATTACCTCAGCAGTTGTACATAACTAATAACTATACATATATATTACATAAAAAGCCATATATATTCGCACGAAAACTGCAGTGAAGTCCGTTCACTAATTACATATGAATACGAAATGTAGAAAATAAGCGATGTCTGCAGGTATTCGTGTCGACATTTTAAAGCGAAACTGTGAAATCCTATTATCTCTGTAGGTACTGTCTATATACATATACACTATATTAATTATTTAAAGATTTTTCTAAAAAATAAATAAAATAGTTTGAAAGTTTGAAAGTTGAAAACAATAACAGCCTTACCTGCCTACCATGAATTGTCAAAATGAGGGTATGAGGGGGGAGTGTCCCTCTCCCCCTTGACCTTTTTTCCAATATTTATAGTATTTAAAATTATTGATACTTTTATAAAGAAAACAATAAGATTAATAATAACATTTTTTTTATAATCTGCAGGTAAAACATGAACATCTGTTTATATTTTCGATACCAACATTTTTTTTTTTTCATTATAAAATCAATTTAAATTGGTAGATAAATACTGTACTTATTAAAATATATATATATTTGTACAAATGAAATAAGAATTAGATAAACATATAACAATTCAAACTTTAAACATTCATATCATTAAGCATAACTTTTTAGGTTTTTCCCCATACTTTTTTAGTTTAATTAAAAATATGTTAAAACATGTTAATTATAAAGTTAAATATTTATGAATTGTGTAAATACAATGCTATTTTAGGGTTTGTGAACCTCAAGGCTTAACTATAATGGCTTTTCATCCTGGGGCTGTAAATAGAATCACAAATGAAGTAGGTAACTTTTAAATAAGCTGGTGAAAAAAATTGAAAACCTAATTTAGATACAATTGTAACCAATTAACTAATTTTTAAGTTTATGTTTTTAATTAATAAATTGATCTATAATCCTTAAGTTATGTTATAAGTGATTAAAGTACGTATTTGAAATTCAGTTTCATCCTTACCCATGACAAAATCATTTGACCCCCCAACGGTGTCTGACTTACTAACTTCTAAGTCCTAATTGGCTTCATGCGTAGTTAGAACTTGAACAGAATTTTCAAATTTTAGTATAAATTGTATGTAATATTGATATAAGTAGGTACCTGCACCAATATAAGTATGTATAAATGTATAATCAGTAGTAGTAGCTAGTAATATAATACAATAATAAATAAAGTTAATACTTAATAGTTATAGTATATTCATATTTTAATTATTACAATCTTTAAATAAACCAATAGGTACTATCGTTGATTCATTCATTATAATGACTACAGTCTACAATAATGTGTCATCTAATATTCTAACAAGTAATAATTATAAATAGTAACGTGGAACTTATAACAATTAAACATTAAATTATATTATTACGTTAGGACATTATATAGGTATATAACACACTACTTATCATATTATTTTGCTATCGTTTTGTATCAATTAAACTTTAATTATCCAGGTATTTAAAAGTGGTTAGGATCAACTTATTAAAAGTCAGTTTCAACTTTAAAAACCAGGGAAAGTCGCTCATCTGCAATACAATTGTAGGTGTCGAGCCTCGAGTGTGTCACATGATGATAATGGGAATATTTCGTCGATGTCCTTTGGTAAATTCTGCAATTATCCAATAAATTAACATCAATCATTTGTAACACAACATATTTCGGTGTGGCATATATGATATTGATGTATAAAATATACAAACAACCCTGGGCAAATCGATCGTTATTGCTATAGGAACTTGTATGAACCTTATCAATAATCATTGTTTGAAGAAAATAAAATGAAACATGAAATTACTAGGTAGGCGACTATGCGAAGACACGTATTTAAGAGGGGCGGGCAGTCATCACTCCAGGCGGAATATGGACTTAATTGTGTTTATAATAAATTATTATAATTATAAATATAAATATATCATATAAGTAATAACTTATAATAAACTATAATATACCAATAATTATAGGTATTATAATTTAACTTTCATTGCACACATTTTCATTTATTTTCTTTGTTGAATTTTCTTACTGAATGCATGTTTAAAATTTACCGTTATAGAAAAAGATCTATGGTACTAACCTAGGTACTTATTTATCAATGATATTTTAAAATTCCAGGGCTGGAAAGAAAAATAAGCCCTGGGTCGTGAAAACACTGAAAACTGAATAGGGATCTACATATCTGTGGACTGTGATTTTGATTATGTATGTATAAGTAGCCAAGGATCGGGGTATGTACAGAATACGAATAGAGAATAGTAGCATTTAGTACATGACTTTATACATACAATATATACAGAATGATAGTCGGTAGGTCCCTGCCTACAATACAAGTTGCAACTGTTTAAAAATTAAAATTGATTGAAATTATTATGGCCAGCACTTAGCAGTAGGTACTCAGTAGAAGTAATATTCATCTAGTTATAAGTATCTCCAGTCTGTGGTTAATTTCGCGTAAGTAATTATGTTTAATCGTCGCATCAACATTCGACGACATTAATTTTAAAAATGCATATTTTTAGTGTTTTCGCAATACTTAGGTATTATAGTAGGCGGCGTCGTCTTGCAACATAGTATTATAATAATATGATATTTTGTTATTGCGACGAGTGCAACACCCAGATTATGCCTCCCGGTTTACCCATCATCCATTATATAGTTGCAAATTGCAAATATGTTATTACATATTTACATAGGTTATAGGTACCTATTTCCACAGCTCCAAACTGCGATTATTATTTTTTACCATTCATTATTTATTCTTATCGATCGACGATCACAAATTTGTTTTGTCCGTACGGATACATGTTTATATTATATTGTAATAATATCATGTACGCGTTATTGTCGTACGATCGCGAATTACCGTGCTCGTAGCGGGATGGCGTGGCGCCCCATAATTTCGGTCGCGAAGGTAGGACACGCTGTCGCCGCCGCCGAGTCCGGTGCCCCCACCCAGACGCGGTTCACGGACCCGTCAACGCTTTCACATCGCGAGCGCAACGTTTCGCCGAGCGCACCACACGATCCTAATAATAATAATAATAATAACACAACCACCTAAATAATAATAATTCGTTTCCCGTGATAAATCGTTCGACGTTATCAGGGTCAAGCCGCAGTGTCTGTAGATCGCGTGAGCTGTTCCGAGTGTCGTTGTCTGTGTTATTGTTTCTGAGCATTATCATCGTCGTCGTCGTAGTCGTTTTTAATTTCGATTTTATTATTATTTATTTTTATAATAGGGTTGTATTATTACTCTTCGGATTGCAATAATCGTATCCGTTCGGTCGCGTGTCGCCTACTTCCGTCGTCTACGATTCGGTGATCAGACATTATATTATTATTGTCAATTGACAGTCTGCAGAGCACCAGGCCACCAACACGTACATAATATTACGTATACTATGGCTCCGAACCAGATCCGTAAGTGCCGGAAATTCTATTATTATTGTTATTATTGGTTATTTCGCCTCCGAGTGACGTCGTACTATGTAGGAGGCAGTATTGTGGGCCCCCGCAACGATGACTTGGCCGTCTGTATTAGGTAATATTATTATCGTGCGAACGCTTTTTTGGCGTGTGACATATGTTTCCGTGGATTTGTTTCCGCCTCGTCGTAGAGTGTGCGAATGTGCGAATGACTTGTTGACATTAAACGTAGGTACCTAATTTCGATACAATATGTGTATGTATAACGTGTTCGTCATTCGTTGTCGTTTGCTGTAAATGAATCACATAAACGGTGAAAGTAGTGCGGACGCATGACACTTGGGAACCTATCGCTTTCTACGCGGTAAACGTTTAGGTACTATTACTATTATTATACTTTGCTAGGACTTTGGTCCCGGACATGCGACGACGAAAAATAAACAGTCCAAAAAAACGTCATTTGATCGACCCGAGGTCTTAGCTCTGTTTTTGAGATCTATTTTAAACCACGTCTATTTATTTTTACGTGATTTGCACACACAGATTATATTAATAGAGTTCCGACTTTGTATGATTAGGTACTCTCATAGTCTCATGGTCAACTCTCTGACCAGATGTCCGAAATAATATTATATATACCTAGATACAGATTTAAATATTTTTTATTTTGCTTACAAAGAAATCGTGTTTCTTTTGTTTCCTGTTTACGTTATAGATAGCTTTGTCTATTTTGTTTTTGAATTGATAACAAAATGAATATTATTTTTTTTTTCAAATTTATTATAATTTATAAGTATGTACTATGGTCTATGTTTATTGTTTTTAGCTAAAAGTGTTATCTCATTTGTGTGGCTTCAATGTTTTAATTCATTCCAGTTTTTTGTACTCTAAAATAATGAAATTTTTAAATCTGTGTTGCGTAATTCCAATTAATACAATGGCATGTATTTAAGTTTCTTATTTGTCCTTCTTTATACTTAAAACCCCATATAGAACTTAAAAATTAAACCTCTTTAATGAGTTGACTGCCACTGCTTTGTTTATCATATGTGATGCACGTAAAACTTTCAGTTATTGCCCTTAATATCTTACTTATACTTGCCAATTTTGTCTTGGGTATTATATATGATACTCAAAGTGTTTCTTGAATTCATGATTATAGATTTATTTATATCTATGGAATTTTTCATGCCAGAAACACTATAAAGAAGCTGATTATCATAGGTATGTATATTGTATAATAATTATACATCACTCAGGTTCATAAAGCTACTGAGTGCACATAAGATACTTAGGCTTTTGTGGTAAGATCAGTGAAATTGGAAGGAAGAGAGAATAACCTGATTCTGCACATCCCTAAACTACACTGGTTCCACTATACCTAGGTGTCAAATTGGGATGTGCAAAAGAGTCAAGTTTTGTTGGACAGAGTAGATAAAGTCGTGTATATGAGGTTAGATTAGAGTTAGGTATGTACTGGACATTTTTAGAAAATATTTTTCTGTCATAAAATTTTACTTTTGCTTATAGGATTTAAATGTGAAGTATTTAATTAATTATACAATAGTATATGTGTTTTATAGAAACTTTTTCATTTTTATAGTTAGGTAGGTGGATGTTTTTTTAGATTTTCCAAAAAGTTGGCAATAGAATAACTTTGTGCCATTAAACATTGGTTACTGTACTTACTCTCTCTAAACTTTAGCTACTATACAGTATTTTCTAATTTTAATTTGAAACATATTTTATTTTTCAACCATTATTTTTGACCTTGATAACATTAATTGTCGAATAATTATTATATTATTGTGTACCTATATTATAAATGTTTAATGTTTAATAATAATAGACTTGTACTTGTTTGGGCTTAGGTTTGTACAAAATAATTGAATAGCATTTTGTAATGAACACATTATCGGAGTCTGATGTCATTGAAGAATCTCTCCATGTTTCTGAAATTACCCAAATGGCTAATGATAATGAGTTAATATTATCGCCAAAAAAACATCTGGTTTGCTTTGCTACCGTTAAAGGGGATTGTTTAGTGACAAAAAACGGTGCATCGTATGCTGGGATTAAGGAGTGTCTGCTCAGTGATCGAATGGTTGATAAAGACCAACCAATTGAAATTCAAATTACAGACTCTGCAATTCCTGACACTGATATTGATAGCGGAATGGAATCTTCAGCATCTAGCTGGGACCGATCAGTTAATGAAGTAAAAGAACATGCATTTGCTAGGCTCGAGGAAGAATTAAAAAAAGCCAATGAAACATTAAAACTTAGAGATGAAGAAGTGTCACGTTTAAGTAGAATACGTGCTGATGTCGAATCAGAATTAGAAGAATTAACTGCTAGTCTATTTCAAGTTAGTAACATTAATACAGTATTGATCAGATAATTATTTTGGTACATTTTTGTTGTAGGAAGCTCATAATATGGTGAAAGAAGCAAATTTACGCCAGGCGGCTGCAACCAGAGCATTAAAAGAATCTTCAATGAAAGTTGATGTGTTATCTGCTGAAGTAACTGCATTAAAAACTCTTGTTCTAACTTCTACACCAAGTCATCCTAATTTATCAAGAGAAGACAGTATTTCGATGCCAGGTAATAATTTATTATAGGTAATATTATTTTGTTTTATAGTCTTGTAATAGTAACTAATTTGTAATTACTAACTTGTAATAGTAAAAAATTATTATTACTATTATTACAGTAGTACTAAATGTGATAATATGTTCAATTTACAATGCTTTGTTCAATTTATTGTTAGTTTATGTATAAATGTATTGTTTATATCATTAGATACATAGATACTATTGAGTAGGTACAATAATTTATTACTTGTTGTATTTTTTCTTAGGTATCAAAACATTATGAATTAAACTTAATTAATATAATTCTTTTTCTTAAAAATAAATACTTTCACTGTATCATTTGGTGGTTCAGGTATGTTCTTAATCCAAGGATGCCCATTATCGTCTTTATATTCGGAAAAATGTTTTTCTACCACACACTCCATGCCTAGATTCTGAGCTATTTTTGCACTGAAGTTATTAGTACAGTCCATGCAAATAACTGAGATATCATCCTTGAGTAAAGCTGCTTCAAATGATTTTTTGGCCACAGCCGTTGACAATCCAAGATTACGGTATTGTTTTGCTGTTGCTAAGGTTTTAATCTCCCACATTGTGTCTACATTTAACATTTTGAATAGACATGGCTCGCACTGAATTGATGTCCAGAATCTTAAAGCATTATATAAATCTATATAGCACTTGTTACCATCTAAAAAAGTTTTAAAATCAAACATTTATTTTTGTATAAAAATGTATATTATCATATTGTAAGATATGCCCGAAGATAAACCAATTTGATTAAATCAAATTCACTAACCAGCAAATGCTCTTTGTCTCAATACATTATCTGGTTTTGTTATACTATTTATAGCTAGAGATGCTACAGAGTTATTATTTTTATCAATTGCTACTAATGTGTAGTCGCTTTCTCTGGGTGAAAAAAAGTCGTTGCTTAATTTTTCAATATCTATTTTCTGGGTTTTGAAAACCGGTTCATCTGAATAAAAATCCTTCATTGTTGATTTGATATTTGATGTGTGTTCTTTTCTTGCACTGACAATTTCTATGTTCTCGGGATAATTATCCATTTTCTAAAGAAATATGTAAAATAGTCATTATAATTTGAGAAATATTGTATATCTATCATACTTTTGCGTTGTAACATGTTGGCAGAGAATAAATATTTCGTAAATACATTGGTGAAAGTTGAAGTATTTGTTTTTGAATAAACATCATATCTAGTAAGTATTATTTTACTAGATATTATGTTTATGATGGTTACTTTTTTTATTAGTACCTAGGTAATTACAAATTTATGTTTTCAAAAATATTAAATAAATTACATTAAACTGTTTTTTTTTATTATTATTACATCATATCTATTAATAATTATAGTAACATTATTTTAAGCCAATCAATGAAATTGCATTATAATTTTTAAAAACTAGTTATCTACTAATGTTTAATTTTATTATATTTTAGGAGGACTAAGTGGAGTTGGATTATTTTATCGTAAACATAAAAGATCTCCCTCCCACAATAACCTAAAGTACGGCCGAGAAAATTCACCGCCGGATTCTCCGCTAAAGCAAAAGTCTAATCAATCAGTAACAGACACAGACAATTTAGACATAACTAATAGCGCTGAAGTAAAAACACTATTGTCTTATTTTTTTTAACTGATTTTTCATATGGTGTTATTTTAACTATGATATTTCAAGATTGATCCCAATGTGCACCGTGAATTTGTTCTTTGGATGAAATCTCCTACTTTAGACAAATCAGATGCCTTTATAAGTCGAATATACAGAGAAGATATTGATCAATGTCTAGAGTTTAATAATTCAACTTTGGCAATGGATGTTAGAAATGCAATAGAATGTGGGAATCTTTTTATTGAGTCTATGGACAAGTCAAAATCTCATTTTCCCAAGTAAGAAAATAATTTTTTATTAGTTTTCTCTATTTAATGTAGTTGGGAGTTACTTAAACTTAAGTGTTTCATTGATTCCTGTATTGGTTATGGAAAATAGTCTTATAAACAATTATCATGTCAATGATTGAATGATGGTAAACAGATGTTATGATTGTATTAAAACTATAAAGTTGACATTGTCAATTTAGGATTGGGTTTTATAAAAGTGGTTCTATAAGTAATCAGTGGTAATAAATTAATGAAATGCACCAGTGTACCTACAATAAAAATACATACAATTAAAATAATATTGTATGTTTAAAGTAATAATATTTAGTTTTTCTAATTTTAGAAAATGTGCTCTGATGGAACTGCCATTGCTTTGTCTCTATAGAATGAATTTAGGAGGATCAGATGGCGAATGCTATTGCATATCACAAATTTGTCGAAATAGAGTGAGTTTTGTTTTTTATGCTATTTTAATTTTGCATTAATTTCTTAATATTTTATATTATTTATGTTTTGATTTGTGTTAAATGACAAAAGTAACTGCAATTATGTTTTTAGATTACTGCGGTATGTGATTTCCTCAACTACCTTAGATACATTCAAAGGGGCTTGGTCAAAAGTCTAGGTTTGTAACTTAATAGTATATTTCTTAATTTTTTACAACAGAAGGAGAAAAAAAATAAATCCACCATTAACAATAATCACTTATTAATTGGAAAACTACTTATATTATAATACTATTAACCAATTTATAAATCAAACAATAATAAGTAATTAGTAACTATATATGGTTTAAAGTAATTATTAAAATACCTTAAATGTCAGATTTTGTTAATTGTTTTCAAAAGTCTTTTGATTGTGATGAAAATAATGTTGTTTTATTCTATATACAGTAATGTACATTAATTATTTGGAAAATATTTGTGTTAAATAATAACATAATAAATATATGACATTACATTTGTAATAAAAACCAAGCAAATAATGATTTATGTTGGCCGTTGGGTGTTTACTAAAGTTAATTTCTTGGTTCTAAATTGCTTTTATTTAATTTAATTTACTTACAGTATAAAGTTTATGTAATTATTCAACTGGACAATAATATCACAATATTACACTTAACATGCCATATTGCATGGATTATATCAAGTCAACTAAATAATATTGTTTTAATGAATATAAATTTAAACTGTAAATAGTATTTTAAAATATAAAAATAGTAAACCAGTAAAATTACTTGACATAAAAAAGATTATTTATCACCATACTCAAACATTTCTAACTGTTCAAGCTGTTTGAATTATAACTTTTGAATTTCTTAGAGCTCCAAGGTTTGATAACCCATAATATACAAGTACTGAAAAATGTATTACTATTTTACTATACTTTTTAAAATAATCCTTTATAACACCATAGAGTTTAGAAATTTGAAAATAAATTGACTTAATAGTGAAGTGTAATCATTATATTAATATATCAAATGTTTCTTATAATTTAGGTACAAAATACATATGTGTCATGAAATAAGACTTCTTTTGTCTTTTAAATTTAAAATATAAACAAAAATAACTAGAATTTTAGTTTGAATTTTCATTGATTTAAATTATAGAGACCTGATTTTTCTACTTATTAATATATTTAACCCTACATCTTAAATATATATTAATAATTTCAAGATAATATCTAACATTTCAAAATTTGAATTTTTGTTTATATTTTAGTTTTACCTTTGAGCAAATTTTTAATGATTAAATTTTATGTCATTTATTTGTCTTCTGTACATTCTGAATTAAAAATTATAACTAAAATGCTATCATTAAATAATAATTTTCGTTAGGTAAGAATTAGAAGGTGTCAAGTCATGTTTGATTGCAAGACTATTATTTACCATTTTAAGTTACCAATATTAGTGTCAAGATGGATAATCAGATTTAACGGAATTTATGTGAACATTATTTAACAAAATAGTAAAAAACTTCTGTTTGAATAACATAATTTTTAATTTTTACGTCTCAAACACTAATTACAATGGAACATAATAAAGTTCATAACAAACAAGCATACACATATAACTATACCATAAGTAATATATTTTATAATTATTTCTACTTATGGATTAAAAATAATTTATTTTATTTTCACGTAGTAGTACTGTAGTCAAACAAAAACAGTAGACTTCATAACTTAATAATAAATTATAGTGTGCTACTAACTCATTATTTAGTTTTAAAAAGTATTATCTTTTAGAAGAATATTTTTTCCAATAATTGTAAATAATAAATAGTAATTGTATATAGTATTTTACCTCACAAAATTGCATTTAATTAAAATGGTTATTACACAAGTTCATAAGATTTTATTATTGACACATTTGATATTTTTTTCGTTTGAAGCGCAACCCATGTACATTTATGTTATACATTGCTTTGAATTGCTTAAAAATATTTTAGATTCTGAGCATAGTAAGGAGCTCTATTGTTTTTCAATGAATTATGCATTTTTATTCACTGCAGTCAAATCTGTACAATTAGATTTAACTCTATTAATAATTGGAAATTTAACACTATCAGAAATAAGTACCTTCTCTGAATATAATTTTTTTTATACCACAAAAAAAACTTTACGGATTAAATTCTTTCAGTATAGTACAATTTGCAGTAACTCCCTCGCTTTGCTCAGAATCTGAAATAAAAAAAATGAATTTTGGAAGACTGTGATTACTCAAGAAGATGTTATGTAAATTGTATTTGTTGTATGTCCATATATTGCATCACACATTCATGATATGGAACAATTTTTCGCTTTTCTCATTTTGTAACCAAACTTAGGTAAATAAGGTAAACATTGTAAGTTCGTTCATTTTATTAAAATTACAAATAAAGCGTTTTATAAGTACTAAACATAAATATAACACTACTTTAAATTTAGTTTTAAATATAAGTTATTATTAGTATTGATTTATTGTTTGTGTAACTTCAACCAGTTACAAGTTTTTAGCTATTTAAAAATTAAAATCGAAAAAAGGCTCCCATAGACAAATAACACTATACACACATTATCTCGTTATCTACAGTTAATTTCGTTATGTTAATCTTATTTTAACAGTTAGGTTTTAAAAATGAGAAATGAGTTGGCGGTTTCGATAAAAGCTTGTTTAATTTTGACCAATATGACATGACATGTTAAACTAACATCCATTTAAGTAATTAATTAATTTTTAATGTATATTTACACGAACCACGACACGTAATTTAATTGTCACGGGATGAGCACCAAGCTTGTTTAATTTAAACTTCAAAGCAACACGAAAGTTATTTTTAGTAATTATTAATTAGTGATCATCATTATAATATGCCAATGAGGTACACATATTTTTAGACTTTCTATTAATATTTTGTTTTTTTTTGTTATTTTTTAGAAAATGATATGTACTGGGAAATCGTAAGACTGCGGAAACAGATGATGTTGGCTAAGTTGGGCCTAGCTTTGACATCGTAATATTGCTAATGTGAGGTATTAAAAAAAAAAAGTGTAAGCTAGTAAAAAAACGCGAGCGTTAAAAAAATGAAAAACAGATTTTGAAATATTGTAGTAACATTGTCGAACCACGGTCGAACGGATAAATAATACAGATGTAACGTGTAATTTTTGTGATCATATCTTGTGATTTTTTTTAGATTTTATCGGATACTAAGTATGTACATTGTACATACTACATATATTAATTATAATTTAAGTCGGATGATAATGTGGACCGAAAGCGCAAGACACCTTAAAACGTACATATATATGTCTTATACTGAAATATCTAAAACAACAGTAACTGCCGGATAAATGTTAAGATATTTACCTAAAGCTTCTTTGGCCACCACCCACCTATCTACTTAGTTTTTATATTTTTACTTATCTCTGTGCAACTATATATTTTAATCGATAAGTGATAAAAAATTATACAATAATTTTACTTAGGTAGGTACACGCAATTGTCTTGCCAATTGATGTGAATGTGATTTAATATTATAATATATAAGATTATAAGGCAGTTCATATTTATATTACCTATGGAACAAAATATAGTTTATAATTGTTTACGAAAGATCTGAAATGGTGAGATATATATTTTATATTTTTGTTTTTTTTTATATATATATATATGAGTATTTTTATGTATTAATTTGTATACTTCGACACAATATATTGATATAATTTGTGTGTAAAATATCATAAATATACAATATAATATTTCGAATAGTAAATAATAATAATAAAAACATTTTAATGCAACAAATCGAATTATTAAAATATATTAAGTTCCTATTTTTGCTGTAATTTTTACATTAATTTAAACAATACATTACTAACTGTTATAATACGATTTATTTTCTGCCGACAATGAGACGTATTAATTTATTATATTATTCAAACACTGTTGTTTATACATTTTTCTACGAATTCAATAACGAATTTCATGTAAGAATATAGGTGGCATGGTGTGACTGCGATCATTTTATGCCATTTTATTTACATTGAAAATTTAAATCTAGCAGGCTAGAGCATATGAAACAAAAAAATGGGGGGGGGGTCATTCAAAATATACACTTAAATTATCATTTATTTTGTTTATAATATAATTTAAAAATGTAGGCCAAATAAAACAGGCTTGGGAACGGCCAATGGCCACCCCCGTTTTATATACAATACCCTTCCACGTTTCTAGCCATGACCAAATTTCAAATAACAAATAACCAGGGTAGTTTCTGACCTAGAATAGACTAGTGAATATATTCTACTAAAGTCTTTTATATATAATATATATAAACCACTTTACCATTTGAAAAAATCATCTTTACCGTGCCTTCGGAATGAAGGGTATAATGTGTATCATCATTGATTTTATATTATATGTTATATAATATATTTTATGTCTATTATAAAATCAATGGTATTACCTAATTTTTAAATTTTTATTTGGAAAATGTTGAGCAGATAATCCGACAGGAGTAGCATAATAATTATAAATGTTATAGGATAACTTGTATAGTGTGAGTGTGTGACACACTATAATATACGTAGTATAATGTGTTTACATTGTGATGCCATGTTTATAGCTCAGTTGTTAGAAATCTTAATTGTGTATTAGGTATTTAAGTACAGACTGTCCCGATAACACTAGAAATGATGCGAACTGATTAATGATAATACAACTAACACTGTTTCGGTCATTTTTTACTACTTTGTAATATTATAGAGCCCATAGAGAATAGAATAATTTATTAAATCTACGATGTGGCCTATATTATCCACCCGTGCATTTGTACATAATAATACAATTCAATTATTATTTAATTACTATATTATATAATATTTTATTCCGAAGAAAAAGAAATAGAAGTTGACCTGTTGTAGGCTGTATACTGTATGTATTGGATATTACCATATTGGTACATTCTGCATAGTGCATGGCTACATACAAATATGCTTACTGCTGCTTTATTTGTCGGCATGCATCTGGCAGGGCCGCAATTTCAATGAAAAAACTGGGGGTGCTGAATCCTCTTTATTTATTTTCATATTATCTTATGGCTGTGGATATCTGCATAATGACTGTTAAAATGTAAATTAATATGAAAACATTTGGGGGTGCTAAGCACACCCAAGCACCTCCCCAAATTTCTCCTGTGCCATCGGATAAAAGAGAGCTACTTTACAGAAGCAGAATTTGAATATTATAAACTTAAACATTATGAAAGGAAGGGGTTGGTAATATTTTTTATTTGTTAACTTAAAAATGGAAACTTTTCGGTATTTCTGGCTTTCTAGAAAAAAACTCACACAAAATTAAATTGGGTCAATCGGAAATAATTACATAACACCAATTTTTGATGAAATCGATTTTGATTTTTCATTGTAATTCAAAAAGACGGAATCTTGAACTTGAAATTATTGTTTCAAGTATGTAAGTATAACATCGTATAACATCGTGTTCTATAAATATCCATAATTATCAATCAGTTAACACGTAAAATATAAAGCTCAATGCAATTTTTAAAATGTTAGACTACTTACTTATTTTAAACTATTTATACCACAAATAACTTAATCTCGCTATTTTCAGGTACATCGCCTACTTGGTATTGACTATTGACTTAGAAGTTATACTATGCAATGTTCTTTCAAAAATTATTTCAACCTACTGAATATTTAAGAAAATAAGAATGTAACAAACTATCCATAGGAAATGGATTCTAGAGCTACCTGTCTCTTTCTCTCAGAATCCCGGTTTTCGTATACGATAATTTATCACTGGATTTAAATTTAACATAATATCTTTTACAACGACCTATTGGATATTTAACGACGTAATCTAGTAATCTAAATGACTATATAAATATCAACTAAACAGAAACGAATTCCCGTTCTTGTTTTGTTCATGACTTAAGATAGTACCTACATAGTACTATCTTAAAATCGTGGTTTTGTTAGAAGAAATAACCTTATCAAGTAAACAAATAAGAATTAACGCTTAAACATAAAAGTTTAACATATAAAAAAAATATAAAATTATGTTCTATACTCATAATTACCTACCGCTATTTTGTTTTCACCAGATTGGAATACGATTCGATGATTTTTTTCACGTCTCTAATATTGTATTTTTATAGGAATATCGTATATTTAATTTTTTATTAAACTTAAAAAAATTACTAGTGCATTGATTGATGCCAACACTATACGCTAAATACTATTATAATAATAATATTTTAGTTGTAAGCAGCTTCCCTAGTGTATTTACTTTGTTTTCTCCAATTCAAACAAACATTTTCTTCGTAGGTTAGGAATTTTTGATAACCCGGGTCGCGTTAATCCCGCTTATCAAAGTCATGTATTTAAAAGTCTTACCATATTGCCACAACTTCGTTTACTCTCATGTTTTGTTGAAAATTACTGCAAATTTACAACTCTATCCCTTAAGTAGAGGACTTTTAACTGTGTAAATTACAATATTATAGCACCTATTGTTTTATTATACTTCTAATTCGATCATAATAATAATTATTTTTAATACTGTGCGACCGATGACCTAATGGGTTCACCGTAGATTACAGTTAGTATAACTATGAGCAAATTACTAGTGAACTAAAACAACAAACCAAAAATTAGATAAGCTGTAAAGGTTCGTGATAAATCGATCGGTCGCCACTGAGTAATCACTAATCAATAATAATAATTTAGGTAATACATGTGGTCCCAATCTGCCATTAATCAATATTTTTATAAGAATGAGACAAATATAGAAGATTCGAGTTCAAAAACCAAAAATTGGTATTATAATAACGTAATTATTATGGAGTTTAGTAAAAAATAAAAATATATTATACTAATGAACTATATTACAACACTCTGATTATTTACTATAGATAGGCAACTAAATCAACTCTTATTTTAGATAACTCGTAACTACAGAATAACTATCAGCTATCTTTGATTTTAAATTGTCTAGGTATATTATTATTATTATGATTCTTGTTATAACCTATTATCGTAAATAATACAAGTATCTAGGCGTAAGCTTTATTGAAAAAATATTTACTCGTCAGTCGTTAACTACAGAATGGCGACATGTGCGTTTGTGCGATATTTATTTTATGCGACGGTAACAAAGACACAAACGACTAAACGAGTAACGACAAACACTTAAAATACCTAAAAGTTAGTATTTATAGTTAATAAATCTTTCAGGAATAGTTAATAGTAACTATGTCAGTATATTGGGTATAAATGTAGAATAGGTACGCACAATTGCAACTACCTGCACACCCACCTAAAAAATTGCCTACACTAAACTCCTTAAAAACAGTTCCGATTCTCCTTCAAATTATACAATCATTTACAATAAAATGTAAATTCATAAATAAATAATAAATCACAAATTGTTATAGAATATTAATGTATTAATTTAAATCATCATATTTCAATGATTACTTCTTTAGAAAAGTTTTTACTATAGTGAAATTAAAATAGGAACATTTTTTTTTCCCCGTTTTTAACGACACTCGAGAGACCCTATAACTTAATAATATTGTTAGACGAAAATCTCTGAATCTGAAGAGACGAACGATAGGGAACGATAATATTAGTGATGACTGATGACGGCGAAAAGGACGACTGTTGACCGTTTTCCCGAATGTGGTCAAATTAACATCAAAGTGACAAAGTCACACTGTCTCGATATAATATCTTTGACAATAATTTGTACACCAGCTATTAGATGTAGACCGCGGTGGAAATACAACGACAGATTATATACCACGGTATGAAATGCGTCGCTTCCATCTGGTTCTCGATCAAACCGTTTTCGTGTCACCTATAGAGTGATTCATTTCTATCGGAATCATCAATTTTTGTGGAACATAGTCCTAAACTTATAAACTACGTCGTGTTTGCGAGCCTCATCAATAAATCCGATTCGATGAAAAACGTTGACTGTTTTTCGAGGATTATGTGGCAAGGTCGGAGTTTGTCAAGGTAAGATATAGCTCACCTACCCATATTTATAAATAGATATTTTAATATTATCATTCACAGGTTCCTCGTATAGAAATATATTGAAAGTATTTATATTCTACGACCGTTGTTTTAGGATATTTATTACAGGTATTTATATAATATCATAATATGATAAACTGATAGTAAAATATAGTCGTCTACCTATTGCGTATGACCACAGAACAATAGTATGACGATGCTTATAGTATAACGAAATATATTTATATATTCAATATCATGGTGTATTAATACTTATGTATTATACATTATCATTACTATATTACTTCGTGTATAATATTATTCATATTCATAGACCTATGAATATATATAATTTAGAAATTAAAAATAATAACCAATTATTATTTATATAGATAAATTAAAAAAACATTTCCATAGTATTTAGTATATTACCCGGAAGGCTGGATGGATTATACTTTAATCATTAGTCATTACCCATTGATATTTTTTATTTTTATTAGGAATAAACAAATAGAGATTTTACAATATCTAAAATTACAAATAATAAGTAAACATGGTGATTATAATTAGAAACGAAAAAAACCGGATTACGTGATATTGATACTTTTAATACTTTATCAAATAACTTAATAGCCATTACATGGTAGCATATTGCAGATCGCAGTATTACATTATGTATATTCATTTTAATGGCATAGAACTTTGAAAATATTTGATTTTTTCAGTGTTTATTTTATAACATTTTAACATACATTTTTAGATTAACATCACAAAACAAATCAATAAAATTATGTTATAATAGTGTAAAAATAAATTTATTACCCAAGTATATGAGTATATACTATTCAATTAAATAAATGTACAAAATAAATATATTTGTTGGATTCAATATATGGGTATAAATTGTATTTGCATTATCCTTTTAATCTTCTGCAATCGATATGTAGGAATCTATCTGTAGTCTCTTTCAGATCTCAAATCATACATAAATTTTCTTTATACTTAAAGCATTATGTACTTATATAATAAACGAATGTCGGGGAAGTATATCGACTTTTTTTTAGCTGTTGTTAGAATAATATAATTATTAAATATAATTATTCCTGTATACTATTGTAACAGAATAGCATAGTAGCGAATATAGGTACTCCTTAATATACCTATTAATTATGGATTATGTGATTTACCAAGCATGCTAATTGCTAACCCCTTTTTCTTTAATAATGCAGTTATTCAAAATCTAATTTTTTTAGTTTTTAAATAATATACTTTAGACTATATTTTCAAATTCTTGAAATTTTTTGAGCTACTTAAGGAGTGTCCCTTGGAGTTACAAACTTCTGTTATTCAAATGAGAACACCCCTATTCATTTATAAACTATACAAGAGATAATTTTTCTGAAATTTTTGACTTATCAAAATCAATACTCGTAATAGCAGTTTTCGAGTTATTTAACTTTGTGTTCTAATGATAAAAGGTCCTTAGTAATAACTAATAAGATGGGGCTATGATGATTTGAAAATTGTAGTAATTAATATTAATCAATCGATATTAATAATTTGTAAAAATGGCCCAAGTATAATGTAAATAAATACAAGATCCAATTTTACGTCTATTTTATGTTTATGTAAGACCAGTTTTAAGGGCTATTAGCTTTAATATAAACATTTTAATAATTAAGAAATTACTCATTCAAATTTTGAATATGGTATATCAATATTAAAAAAAAGATTATTCACTAATTAATTTACAGTAAAGGGTTACTTATGGAGGGTTCTCATTTGAAAAATAGAAGTTTTTATCATTACAGGACATCCCTCAATAATAGTAAAAAAAATTGAAGAATTTGTAAATATGGTCTTTGAGAATGTTTAAAAATTCCAAAACTCAGAATTTGAATAAATTCATTATTAAAAGAAAAATAGGGGTTATCATGCTTTGTGAATCACCCTGTATAAAGGTATTGCATATTAATATAATATAGTTGATAATGTTGATATTATGTCCTACAATATGTTGTGATTAAATTACTTCCGAATGGGTACTTATGTACCTATGTACTAACCTCAATACACTAATATGCTTATAGGTTAGGTCAGTCTCGATTGCTCGATTGCTGCAGAAACGTACCTATCAATTATAATATTATCTACATATTTTTTTATAAATTTTACTATTTTGATGATCATTTTGTTACTGCGATTGTTAGGACAATATTAGGTGTAGCAAAAGTCATGCAGTTTTAAAGATAATATTTTGAACAACTTGGATATTGGTAAGATTGTAGTAATACCAATAAAATATTTATGCTTTCATTTAAAAAAAATTATTCGGCCATTAGCTCACTCATTTTTTAGTTAATTTGCAGTTGTTGATGCGCAATAACTCAATCCGAATTCACTTTATCCTAGACCCTAGTAATAGAGTTGGGTATGTGTATGTACATGATATTAGTGTATGTACATGATATTAACGTGATGCACATTAGAAAGTTAATTCAATTTTCCGAATCGATTAAAAAATGCATTTAAACGGTTTTGAAGTTGCGCAATAACCTTTTCTGCTGCAATAAATTATAATTTTATAATATAGGTGGGTACATCATGGAATATATAATATTTTTTATCAACTTTAACGAGTTATTAGTCAAGTTCATTAAATTTATAAATGCGTGCCTACTATATTATAACCTAAACACTTAATAATGAGTAACGAGTTAATGCGGATTAATGACTGCGCATACATTATAGGGGCACTCGATTCATTCAATGTTTTGTGCAGGGGGTCTAACCTTTTGTAGCTGGAGCGCAAATTTTACCTTTTAAAAAAAACACCGGTGGTTGCCAGAAAACAAAATTATATTATTACCTAATATTTGTATTCTATTTTATGTAATTCACATATTATTACATTACACAATAAGTTACTTATATCGAGAATTAATTAGAATTTAGAATTAATTGATTAATTGATATGATGATTGAAATTGTTTTTCAGAACCCAATTGTTCAATATCATAATTATTAAATTGTTGGAGGGCCAAAGAAAAAGGCTGCGGCCCTTGGGCCACTGGTTGGACCACCCTGCAGGTTTAGTGTATGCTAATGGAACTCGGCATAAATGTTTAAAAAATGTCACAGATATGCCTTTTAAATTGAAAGCTCGCCACGAATCAACTAGCATACTCTCTTGATGCAAATACAATCGTAGAACCCTTAAAAATTTTAATCTATTAGATTATGACGTAATAATACTGTCATTGCTGTTCCCTGGTGGTGCATACTGACGTTGGCTGCGGTGAACGTAATCGTTGCCGGCCCGAGAAACCGTAACCATCCCGACGGACTTCGTGGTGGTGGTGCTGCAGGCGGTGACGGTGGTGACGGTGACGGTGGCTCTGCTTGCGGTGTCGCGACTTCGGCGCGTTGACCGTCGGGAACGTTTCGGGCGAATAACAAGTGAACGTGGGACGCCTAGCATTACTCTCATCAGTAATCGCAGACCACGTTTGACGAGCGACAGCGCGTCACCGCCGCTTGTCGGCGTGTCTAGCGGTTCTAGCGGACGTCGTTGTGGAACGGATGGACCGCCGTTACTGGGACAGCCATCATTATTGTGGGCATTTGCTTTGGTGGATCTGTGGCCACACGGTCCTCTAAACCGGAACAGGCTGCACGACAGCATTCTAAGCGCCAGCGCTAGGACGCACACGCCGACCAGGCACATGGCCAACGTGGTGAATGACGGAAGGAAACGGACAGTGGCCAGAGCGATGGTGGCGGCGCACAGGCCGTGCAATAACATGGACCGGTCGGCCAGTCCCGAGCATCGCGCTTGTTCTACGCAGCCGTTACCAGAGACGCCAACGCTTGATTCCGCTTGATTCATTCGTAGCTGTGGTGCAAGTAGCGGGTCGAATTGTTCTACACCGCTTCCGCCGCAGTCGTCGTTGTCAGATCGTTCGCACGCGATCATTTCGTGGATTGCCGAGCGTATAATGCCGCGGGATGAGCGACTGACGATGACGACGACACGACGGCAGCAGAGTTACGTTTTCGATTAAGGCGTGCGCACGCTTATGCTTGTGCATGTGAATAATATCAATATATTTCGAGACCAAACACCGTCTCTTATTTATTGTAGTGCTCAGATGTATAATTAATGTAATTTTTTGAGTAAGTGTGCTTATGTATTCCGCCGAGTGTTCAGCATAGCTGATCATATTATGACGACGAAAACACCGCGATCGACATATTATAAAATATTATAATATATGATTATAAGATGAAATAGAAGAAGTGGCAAGAGAAAAATCTATCGACTAAATTTAGCGAAACCTAAATATTCATTTTTCAATGCCAACTCCCTTTCCTAAAAATTTCCCCAGAAGACAAAAGACTATTTTAACCCTACTCAGAATAGTACACACATCTATTACTCAATGTGACATCGTGATGCCAAGGGAGATTCCTCCTTTTATGCAACACCACCTCCGCGAAACCTTCAGGTCTATAAAGTTATTCAAATACCTAATACTATCAAATCTGTATCTTAACATTTAAAAACCATTGTGTTTAATCTTTAATGTATATATTATAAATTTAGTTTAATGTTTTAAATAATATAAGTACTATTCTATGTCCACTGTAGATTATTCCTTTTTTTTGTTACAGAGAAATAAAAATTTATATGAATAAAAATAAAAAATAGTAAATACACAGCAGAATGCAATGTTATAATCTGACCTATCGCGTGCTACATATTTTTTGTAGTTCAACTATGTATAATATAATACATATATTATAATGCGGATACCTATCACAAGCTGTTGACACGATATTATAGTAATATTCATTTCTAGTGTAGATTGTAAAATGTATATTAAATCTAAAAAAGCGGGTAATTATGGATTATATGTTAACCATATTTAAGATTTATAAATAAACAGTAAATATATACAAATATAAGTTTATTTATAGTTACATCAATTAAAAATATATTAGGTAAAGATACAAAAAGATAGTAAAAATAGAAATAAATATACTTTTTGGAGATTTGACAATACTCAAACCACTCACAATAATTTATCATACACAAAACTAATGTTTTACTTCCGTTTAATAAATCTCGTCGCCAAACTGCCTACTGGTGCTTCGACAACCAAGAATAATACTAAGCCCATAAAATAACTTTTCAATGCATCATATATCCAGGCATCCACCTAAAAAAACGTGATTACAAAATGAATAGAAAATGTGCTAGTTATTTCACAACTTATTAATAATTTTGATATGTTGATTATACTATGTTATACTATATGTATATTATATTATGATATGTCGAATAATAATTTCAGTCTTACCACAGTTCTTCTTGATAGATAATTAGGTGATCTCATTCGACTCTGTGATATCATCATAATAGTGAGGTTGACTAAGAAAACGGAATATGAAAGTCTCCCCAATGATACTATTAATCTATTAGTCACAATTTTGGATATTAGACCTGAAAACAGTACACAATTCATGGTGTGAAAAAAGTTGGTGTTGTTAATCGTTAACACTATTACAGCCAGTCTCAATTCCGTTATCTTAACGCCGATGCCGAGAATACACCGGACCAGTTAATAGTTGATTTCCTTTTTTAATTATATTACGTATTTTATTACATTTAGTACTAAACATTAATATGTATTGTTGGATAAATTATGTTCATTAAGTTTTACGAAAAATAATTAATCACTAGATAGTATATAATTGTTGATATTTATGAGAGTATCTAATATTTTTAAGGAGAATAAAGAACGATGGAGGAGTATTACCACAGTAGTGGATATTTGCTGGCATTCGTCACGAAACTAATATTTCTTTTCCAAGTGAAAAAAATGGTATGGAATAACGGAATAGTACATACCTATAATTGGGTGGTATTCGAGATAACAGAAAAGTACCAATAAATTAGTGTACATATTATAATTATTGGTACCTAAAAAATGTTTAACTAAAGAGATCCGAAAAAATGGATACAATAGAAAAATCTGTTAAAATGTAGGTATTACATAAGTTAATTTATTATAAAATATTTAAAGCTATAACTTATGAGTTATAACACTCAGAGAAAATTAATTTCCTAACATTAATTATATCGTTGATAATTTCATAGTTTAATGAATTTAAGATTTACTTAGGTAGTTAGGTATAATAACACGTTTCTTAAACACAAAAAAAAATATAATTTAAGAAATATTTTTTTATGTTAAATTTTGAGCCGAACACATTGATATCCATAAGATATCGTAATAATTTTTAAAGCAAAATATGTAGACTATCAAACTATCTTATGTTGTGTGATCAAAATTAAGACTTACCTTAACCACTTGTGAAATGGCAAACAAATATCCATCCAAATAATATTACCCATGTGCAATGATTTAAAGTTGAGTATAGAGCTTGTTCTATCACATAATAAGGCCTATCTCTCTTATAAAATACAACTCCATAAAACTGAATCCATAAACAAATCACGGCAATAGTGAAAGTTCCAACATGAACAGTCATCTAAAATATCACCAATTTAAATTTATAGTTTCAATTCATATTTCATAAGCACATATTTATAAATGATAGGTAATAAGATACTAACTTGTGAAAATTTTACTTTGTTTTCCTTTAATTTATCAATGGTTATACCTGTTGTTAAACCCATAAAAAAAGGAAAAGCTCGGGTGTAACTTAATCTGTATGACTCATTAAATGTTTTGGAATATCTTGTGTTTTCTAAGAATCTGAAAATAGTTATATATTTAAAATGTTTTTTATTAGAATTCAATAATAAATTGTTCTTAAACTATGTTTTGTTTTTTTAAATTCAATTCAAATGTGTCCAATCATGAATAAGTAACGCTAAAAACTAAGCATTCAATCTTATACTCAGTAAACAGTATTAATATAGTTTTGATAAGCACAATACCAATTATAAACGTTCTATGTAGAGTAACAGTGTATTAGGTAGGTAGGTACTCAAAATGAGTAACACATGATTAATTGATTAGTAATTTTATAGTATTATTGTATAAATTTAACTTACGGAAGAAGTATTTTAATTATTCCCTCCCTTTTTGTCAATATCGTGATTATAAATGGCACAGCTATCGATACACCAAGGATTAAAGTTAATAATCCAATCCCGGATTTAGTGTTCTTCGTGTAAATGTAAACAACAATAACTCCAAGTATGAAAAACTGAACATCACACGATATGTACCAACTGGCTATAAGGCACTGCAATAATAATTAATAGTTAGAAATATTTTTATTTTATACGTTTTTACCTACTATGCTAATAGGTAATTAATATATTTTATTTATTCTCCCAACTGAACCATTATATGATTACCCATGTAACTTATAATTTTTCTAAGATTGTAATTGCATTAAAATAAAATTAAAAAATGTTGTTAAGTACTTACTTCATACTTAGTATCAATTAAATTACTTATGAACAACATATTGGTCCACCAATAGTTTTTGCATATATCGGCTTCGTCCCAGGTTTTATAAGGCCATAGTGGGCCGTCTCCGAGGTGAGGCACGATATGTGCGGTGATCGCCATCATTGCACAATAAGCCGGTAATATTCTAAAATGGTTTTAGAATAATATATTATGTTAATGACTAGAAGTATGCAAGTGCAATAGAATAGCTGACGGAAATGCTTATTAGATTCGGGGTGTCAGGAATATCGCAATATTTGATGTAATGATGTGATGTTATGGAATACCTATGTTCGACGCTTGGGGAATGTCTAACTACTAATTTAACCACTGATTTTAGCTAATGAGTAATGACATAATGCCGAACTTCAGCAACCAATACTTACATTACCTTACAACTACGTGTGGCTTATGATTACAAATATACATTATCCGTACTCCAATCATACAATAAAATTACTTAATTAAATTATTTTTATTTTTTAAACATGCACATTGGCTTGAACAAAAAATAATTCGTGAATTTTCTTTTATTTATAGACAATAACAACAAATAACCGTAAATCACAAACAATTACTTAAGAGTGAAGAGTGTATAAATTAAAAAAAAATTCAAAAAGAATCTTAATCAGTGCTTATTTATATTCGCATTTCATCGACAACTGTGATCAGTGTAAACACTGTAAACTGAAATGTATTTGTAGCTAGAAAAGCATTTTACAAGAAGTATCATAATTTAAGTTATCAACTTTCTAGTCGTGAATCGTATAATTATGATAAATAAATAATTATTTAACTGTAAGCAATCACTGTTTCATGCTTGTATAAGTTTTTAATTTATCGAATATTATTCAGTGGTCTTTAACCAACTGCAGTTGAATAGTGATTGTATAATGTTTTTGGGCTAGTTTAAAGATTATCCACTTGTATTAGTGGCTGAAGTCAGAAATGTTGTCAATAGCTAAAAGCCGTGGTTAAACTTAACATTAGCTACTCATTGGACTTAACCCGTAACTCTCCATACGTTTTTTTTTCATAGCATATTATCGTACTGGTTATATTATTGTATAAAATTGTTCGATTAGAGAATAATTAATTTTATTGTTCATATAATGTAAAAGGTTTTACCTGATCATTCTGTAGATGATTGGCAAAATAAGTTTTAGCAAAACTGACATCTCTTCTGTTTTTTTATAAACCGGTACTAATGTCGAATATATCAGAAAACCAGTAACGAAAAAAAATGGATCAGTTAAGTTCATACTAGTCAAATAAAGACCGCGTCCGCTGAGGTATAACTGTAATAATTATAGGTACATTATTATATTTTATTGTTTTATTTTTACAGAAATGTTTTCCAAAAACATTTCACTTTTCCAAAAATGTATTAAAAAAAACTATATTGCAATATTTAAAATTTGGAAATTCAATCAGTTTAAAATAGGTTTTAAATACAGATTCAGTTAATTTTTCGAAAAAATCTAAAATACTATGAAGGAATATCAGCAATCTTCTTTCAAAATTGGCAGCTTTTGTGTAAATTTAACTACACTCCTCATTCCAACCATTAGTCAAAATATGAAATTGTCCATGATGCTTTTAAAATTGTAATTTGACTGCCCCCTCCCCCGTATTAACTTAATTTAAAAAATATACAAATAATATCTCAACTTACGTTTTCTATGAATTTAGGATTACTTATTGGATTTCCAACTAAATACATAAATCTGTGACCCAATAAAATTACTATCATTATAACCGCTTTCCAACCATTTATCATATTATATTCGTTATTTTTATCGAACTTCAATAATATTTTAAGCGAATGAATAAAAGAAAATAAGTAGAAAAATGAATTTGGAACTTCTCCTGTTGATTAAAAAACATATGAAATACGTTAAATATGTTCATTTTAATTAATTAGTGAGAATAATAGTACTAGTAAGTTACTAACTTTCGTCTTCTTTCTTCTTTTGTTGGCGATTTAATGCTATATAATGAAATGCTGTTGAAGCGCCACAAATTAAAAATAGCAATCCGAAAATCACGCTACAAGAATAAAAAAACTTAATTAGTATTAATTACTTTATTAGCTTTAATAGTAGCATATAATTTATAAACTGCATATTATTATACTCTTTATTATGTATTAATTCCGTTGGATATTTGAATGAAATATTTAGATATAATATATGTTATGAATTTATGATATATGATAAAAAAAAGTCAAAAATACCTAATAACAGTAAGAAAAAAATCAATTACTTGGTTACGTAATATGCTGTATTGTAAGGATACATGTCTCCACTAACAGTGCACAAGAGCGGATTTACTTTAACAACAGCTTTGAACTGCTCTGGTATGAACACCTTGTCCAATTCGTTTTGCAATGATGTTTGAAGATCTGTTGCTGTACAAGAATCCGGAATGCAGATTCCTAAATGTAAGCTATTTCGTTGGACTTGATCTGGATAATCTACCCACTGAAACGACAGAGTTGTATACAAAGTATTTTAAATGTCACTTTTATTAAAAATTAGAAAAAGTAGGTACCGATTGGATTTTTAATATTTATCTAATTTTAATTGTTGAACGGAATCCAATTAGTGATTACTAATTAGTTTGTATATTGTATCTATAGTATTATATATAGGTATGTGATAACTGATAACTGATAACTAACTGATAAGTATTGGTACACACAATTTCTACAATTATTTAAATTGTGTCTTAGATAACAAATTATGAATAACAAATTGTTATTTAGTTTTGAAAGTAGCATTCTCGTCCGAAGAAATATGAAATATTATATTTGTCAATTTATTATATACTTTACATTTTGTTTAAGACATTTTGATTGCTTTAAATATTAATCTCGATGTATAACCATAACTGGTATATCAATATTTTTTTAAATTCATATTTTAAATATTTTAACATACCCCGAGTACTGTTTTCCATGCATGATTGTTGCCAAAATCGTCAAGATTTTCAGTTCTATTGAAACCATAATTTTTCCCGTCCGGTGGAGATAATTTTATTTCAGACAAACAATACTGTCCTCTTATCGGATGATGCACATCGACACATTCGTCATAGACCCCCATTTGATATCTATTACCTGCCAGTAGACCAACAGGATACCGGCTCCAGGATTCTGACACTGAAAAATAAATATTATATTAATATATTATATAAGTAAAGATAGGTATAATATAGGTATAAGCTACAAGCATACATTATGTTTTTAATAATTTAATTAAGTGGTAAACCATTACTCGTAAGTCTTAACGTATAGTTTATTTTCCCAGCCTCCCAGGCCCGGATTAACACTACCGTAGTCCCTAGACCCATGTGCTAATACGGTCCTGTAGTGTTCAGTATTTAAATGATTAAGAAACCTAATATTTGGGATAGGTAGTGTTGAATCTCAGTGTTCGAAAACGAAAATATTTACAACATGAAAATCATCATGATACTTTACATTTTAAACACATAATGAGTTTTAAACTAGTGTACCTCTTATAAGTGGTGTCTCCCAATAAGCCACGAAACAGAGGACTATATTTAATATAAAAAAAAGTAATAATAATATTGCGTTTGTGAAATGTTACAACCCAGAAAGTTCACAAAATCGATAGTACAGTCTCGACGGTTTCGAATAATAATAATGACCAAAAAAAATTGTTTTTAGCGAAAATGAAGTTAACCTTCTGTAGTACTATTTCTTAAAAGTGAAATTAATTACTTTAATCATAGTAACATCATCAAATATACTAAGTAATATCATAGGCTGACAGACCGTCTACGCTCAGAATAGTTTTTTCATACACAATGTTTTTATATCATTGAATTCAAATTCAATATCATTCATTACAGTGACCCACTTGGCACTTGTGACCTACTGTACAACAGAGCGACATCTCCTTACACGCTTTTTGAATGAATAACAAACATGATTTTTTTTTTAAACAATATACAATTAATTATAATCTATATTATTATCACCGGTTTTATAATACTATGTAGGCAAGGTGTATTTATAAGTACACTTTGTTTATATTTAATATAATAATATATTAGCCATAAGGTATATCCACAGATAAACATTTAATATATTACCTGAGGTAATTCTTTAGTTCACATTTTCACAAGTTGTAATTAGGTTTAATAATAGGCACGTCAATCAAAGTAAATTATCAATTAGATATTTTTAGTCTTGATCATACAATCAAAACGTTTGTTTTTTTTTTCAATTTTCAATTTATGCGTTTATGATAGTATTTAATAGGGTTCCTAATATTTTTCTGGCTGATATAAAATCAGCAAAACATCGTTACGATAGATTTGAATAGTATAAATTATTTTTGTAACTAGAAAATTATTTTCACGTATTGGTCACTAAACACTAGCTAAGCTACCTTGAAGCATCTACGTGCGCATCGTGTTCTATACGTTCCCAGTATTAATTGTTGTATCGTTGTACGCTGTTAAGTCATATAATACAATATGTCTAGATTATATGTCTACCATAGATTCTAACGACACCGTATTGCTGGAGTTAACGGAAGGAGAAAAGATGAAGAAGAGGATATTTGAAGATCTGAGATCGGCAAAGTTCAACATTCCAACTAAATTTTCGACACGGGTTGGAACTTGGCTGACGTTGAAAAGACACGAGTCTACGACGAACGTGGCCACGACTTGTCATCAACCAGCCAAAGCAGGAGACTCCAAAGTCTACCACCAGTGTTGGTCCGCTCCGGTCGAGCCTTTTGAGCTTTCTGACGTGCTGACACAAAACGGACCTCCATTCAGTCCATCGGACCTCGAGATGTCTGTTTCAAAGGACGCAGGATCCAACGCGTCGCTGCAGGATAATGGTGCTGTGAGTTCGATGGATACGCCGAAAAGAGTAAACACGTTATCGTGTACGTCCGTGCAGTCGGTGCCCGAACTACCAGCAACATCGCCCAAAGTCTGGGAGACAATAAGCGAATTTGAAGACTGTTCAGCGCAGAGTCGATGGTCCTCAGCTCCAAATATATACATACAACTTTTGGACTGGTAGATCACCCGGAACGGGAAACAGAATGCAGTGACGGCAGCGAGCAGGAGTTGGTCTGTGACCCGATAAATCCTAAATGGCGTCGCTCAATATGGAGCCGGACGAAGAAATTCGTCCGGCGCATGTTTTACTGCGCCGTTTAGAGGGTTACCGCAACCACTTAGTTGCTGAATGAAGTAATTCATTATTACCGAAATAATTAGAAAACAATTTTTGTTCAAGAACTTGATTTACATAAATAAGCTTGCAGCTTTGTTATGCTACTTGTCTAGTTGGTTTTTAATTGAAATTAATTTTAATTAAAAAAAATTATATTATTATCAAACGCATCAACATTCAACACCCTCTATAATATTGTACCAAAAACATCCTTGAACAAAAAAAATAAATTTTTGTATTAAAATTGATATTCAAATAGGTTTCCAAATAACTAGGTTCTTTACAGTTATATCTTATATTACTTAAAATATGTTTATACAAAGAAAAACTACGTTCTGAAATGAAATATGCAGAAAGTATATAACTCTGGTTGATACTTTATACAACACAATATTTGATCAGATTTGATTCGTCTTGTGTGCAAACACAGGTGCAATGTTAATTAAAGTCAGTCTTTAGTTATAAGTGTTATAACTTACGTCTTACAAGCAGTGCAGGTTGCAGCATTTGCTAATTATTATTTATTTTTGTCTCTAGCAGATAGTGCCACTGAAACTCATGTCAACATTATGTTATAATTATCTCAAACATTAAATTTGAAAATTCTGTTCTTTTTTTTGTACTTGTATTATTTTAAAAATGAGGGAAGTGTTTTATTCTTATGTTTTAAATTTATTGACCAGTTATCCGGAACACATTATTATTATCATGTTTTGCTACAAAGTCAGTCGCTCACAAAACTCAGACGACATTTGAACGATACTTTATTTAATACGTGACTCGCGCTGTAAATATTATCACATTTTCTTATTCTTATATGAGTTATATCTGAGCCTCCCCATATGAGTAGGCATATGACGAATTAACGCGCACAATATAAAACATTCTTGTTTATAATATACCAAATATTGTAATATCATTATTTTAATAGTGTTTTATGTTTTTTTAAAGCTTTTGTCGTTCAATGACAAACATGTAATGGGTACATACAATTGTCAGCTAGTGTAGACAGTGTAGTATTTTGTCCATCGGTGTTTGTTTACTGTATTAGGTACCTAACTGCTTTAATCGTTACTGTGCCTATTGTTATTTATGAGTATTGAAAGATAGGTGTAAGAATTATGATAGTATAATATAGATGTTTATGATTCATTTATTATAGAATCATACAACATATATTTTGCATATTATGCTGTCTATAAGCTTTAAGTTATAAATTATAACTATATTTTAAATGCCATATCGAAGACGACGAGATATTCAAATTTTAGACCTTACATTGAACCAAAACAAAAATTAACAGTTACTCTCAGGTACTGTAGAATAAGTATTTATTATTTGAAGTCGGTGGTTCTTAACCGGTGTGTTGCTGCACACAACTGTGCAGCGACATCGACTAGTAGTACCACAAAAAATGTCATACATATATAGGCACGTGGCAATGACTAATGCCTTGGCTGAAGTTGCCGAAGTTGTTGTGGTTGTCAAGTGCGCGAGCGTGTCGTGAAAAAGTATGATGGATAATATTGTGCCGCGGACCAAAAAATGTCGAGAACCACTGTTTTAAGTATATCGATTTGTATAATACTAATTACTATCCGTATACATTAAGTTTAAATTAAATGCATTCAAATGTTAAAAAAAAAATATTGTTAAAAAAGACTCAAAAAATCAAGTTTAAATAAATTAAATCTCGAACTGCTTTAAACTAAATACAAATATTTACTGATAATTTACTTCATTTTATATTATTATGCGTTGGGCGATTCGGGGTTGGGTACAAAGTAACTAGTTATGGACTCACATATAAAATCAGCATTTTGCTTTTCATTTTTGTTCGGTCGATTCGGCCGGTTTGGAGAATACCCACTGGGACTATATTCAGGCGTTAAATTGAATATTTGTTAAATGTTATAATTGTTAATTACTATTCTGTACGTTGTATAGAGATGATCACGAACCCTATAATATAATATGGTGTAATATGGTTTACGTATATTATGGAAGTATTCCACGAAATTATGAAGAATCAATTCAGAAAAAAATAATAATACCTAGTTGCTTTCTAAATAAAAACTACGTATAGATACGAGCTACAACACTCCTTATTAAAAATCTTCAGCTGTTGTTTGTCTTCACAATTGTAACTTGTAACTTGTATTAATATCAACGGTGAACTTAAAAATAATGTATGGTATTTAAATTAAATTAATTTTTTTTGTTTTGAATTAACCAATACAGTAACATAACAATGTAGTGTACCAAGTATTAAACTGCCAATTACTTCAAACAACTGCACGTTTCATTATGTAAATATATTATGACATTGAACTACTTAAATTATATAGTTATGCAGATTTCTCACACTCTCACTCTCGCACGAACAGGTTTAAAAACATCAAAACATTATTATTTATTACATTAAATTTGTCTCGGGTACATAATAACAAATTAGTATACCTACTTAAGGCTGTTTAAAGCGGATGTATGTTCATCCATTTAGATAAGTTAGCGGAAAATAATAAACTTCCAGACGTCCAATTTTAATTTTGAAAGAATATTTGAATTTATTCTCTTCTGTCAGTGTTTTGTTGAAAACGATTTTTTTTTTTAATTTCTCTAAATATAGTAATTGTGAATTTTGATTTTAAAAAAAATGTAAACTAATTGGGTACTATACAAATTAAACAATACAATAAATCGAAAATTAATTTTCTTTGAAATCTAGCAAAGAGAATAAGGAATCCAAATATGTTTTTTAAAATTAAAATCGGGCTTTCGTTACTGGGTAAATTTTTTTCCGCTTTTTGAGACTTTCATAGCCCCATTTGAATTGAAAGTTTTGGATCGCTTAATATAATGATGTGTGACTATTATTATGTGCGTTGTGGATTTCAAAGAATCTAAGCCGTAGTTTATCTGTAATGCGCATAAAGCG